TGCTGAGATAATTTTGGGGGGAGGAGGAGAGGGGAACGGGAGGGAGGAGGTTGTGTAAACTCTCACTGGGAGAGCAAACGGGCTCCTGCAGCTTAACTCTTTCCTTCACTGCAGGAGGACCCATTTGCTGAGCCCAACCTGGAAAGCTGTCGGCTGCCAGTGGCTGGGCCTGCATCTCTTGGGTCTTCCCTGTGGCTCTCAAGGGCCGGCTGTTGCCAAAGAGTTTGGAGCAAGCTGGGATTTCTAAATAAATCAGCTGCAACTGGGGCCCCTTAGAAAGGACCATGTCTTCAAAAGCATTTGCCCCCCACATATACTAGCTCCAGGTCCTGCAAGGGCACATTGCACCCAAGGGCTCAGGGTGGTTCTTAGGACGGCAAACACCCTCTCTCCAGAGACCAAAACGTTCGGTTTTCAGGTGTCTGACTTGAGGCAGCTAAAAGGGACCTGATGCTGAGGGCATGGACACTTTCTGGAAGCCAGGCCCCTTGCTCAACCTGGGTACCCCAAAGGATGACACCCCAAAGCAGACCCTAAGAGGGACTGCCTGTGGCCCGTGCTCCTGCGGGCAACCCCGTTGGAGAAACCCTTTTATAAACCAAGCTCCACACTCGGCAGTTTTGTTTAGAAACCATAGTCAGGGAATTAAAGGTAGGGGTGATTCGACTCACAGACTCGCTGCCCTGCCAGTTCCAGCAGCTGTAGGTCTCAATTCAGGAAAGTATCTCCATGCCACTCAGCACAGGGTTTGTCTCTTTTCCTGAACTGGGACTTACTATCTAAAGCCAGTACAATCATCTCCTTAGGGTCTGGAGCAGAATTATAACCCCCCTAACCTTGAGGAAGCAGAGGTTGGAGATGAGGATGAACTTGCTTACTCTGAGTGTGGTCCAGCACCAAACAGGCACCTCGAGACCCTGTGGAGTCTCCATCCTTGGAAGTGTTCAGGAGCAGGTTGGACGGACCCTTGGCTGGGATGGTTCAGTCAGGGACGATCCTGCTTTGAGTAAGGGACTGGTCCATGCCAGCCCTTCTTTCCAAAAATCCTGTCACCCCAGCCCTCAAAGCCCTGCCTTCCTTGTTTAAAAGCAACCCTTTTGGAGCCCTGAAAGCTCCCAAGTCTCTGTTATTTTATGCCAACGTGGCTTGCTGCAGACCTGATTGCAAAAGAAAGAAATTAGTGACAATTATAATCATCGTGGCAGGCTGCAGCTCACTAATAGAAAAATGTCAGGTTGGCAGGATAAATGCAGCTACAAGCACTCTATGCAATAGGTGGAGTATGTGTGTATGTGTGTGCGTGTGAGAAAAAAAAAAAGAGAGGAAAAAAACCCTATATTTACAAGCAGATTTCAAGACACCGCTAATAGCTCTTCTGGCCCCTGTGGCTTGCATATCACAAGGCTACCACTCTGTCCACAGAAACCAACAAAGAGCTGCTGGAAGGACTGGGATGGGGCCACACTGGAAGTTGCACTGGGATAATCTAGGCTGAGCCTCAGACCTGACATGCAAAGTAATGGCAACATGGTCCAATGGGTAGAAGGGCTCCTTGGGAATACTGAGGCCTGGTATCTTCTCCTGGAGGCAGGGGCTGTGTCTAGGCAGCACCTAGCATGCTAGGCCATTAGGGACTGCCTTGCCCACGTGCTGGGCTGTTGCTTGACAAGCAAAACCTGAGTTCTTGTGTGGCAGGGAGGCTCTGAAGGAGGAAAATTCCCAGGTGGCACCTGCGCAATGAGCCTGTGTCTAAGGATGCTCAACGAGGGCCGACTGCGGGATCTGATGGCATTACTGCAGGGACAGAGGAGAGGAGACACGGTCCCTGGCTGCGTCCCGTCTCTTCCCCTTTATTTCCTCCGTGTGCCTGCAGCCTGCACCTCTCTCTGCCGGAGGAGCCAGAACCCACCCACATCTGCCACAATCCCAGGCCTGAACACAGACCTGGCAGATGGTGCAGCAGACAGTCTGTCTCATCCCACACAATCCTCTTGCCCGCTGTGGGAAAGATTAATGTAGAACATTTAAAACAACGCCTTTCGGTGCATTGTATCCATTCAGGGCCTTCTGAATTGCCTGAGAAAGAGCCCTGTGTCCTGCCAGCAGGTGCCCTGTCTCTCCCATGCCAAGGGCAGCGCCGTCTCCATCATGGGGGTGCCCCAGATGGGGCGAGAAAGCCCTTTGTCAGGGTGGCATCTTCCACCCAGCTCCTTTTGTGCCAGCCCGGCAGACACCCCCCCTCCTCGCATGGCTAAAATGGATGCCGCACGGAGACGCGCCGGCTTCCCGGGTTTGCTTCTCCCTTGCGCTCTTCTTTGCAACCCGGTGTCATAATAATGACACTCTGAGCTGGATCCCAATCGAACAAAGCCAACTGGCGCCCGCTGGAAAACCTGCCTCTCTGTCCTCTCCTTTGAGCTCAGATCTCAAAGCACCGCATGATTTCATATCGCCTTCCAACCCCCATCACAGAGGGATTTAACGCTATGAGCCATGCTGTTCAGATAGAGAACAGAGACAGAGCCCACTCTGTGACATGGGTATAAACCGCAGCGATGCCATGGGGCCTCCCCCACCCTGGAAAGGGAGACTGACCTGGTGGTTTAGGAACTGGGCTGAGACTTAGGAAATATGGACCTAGTCCTGGCTCTGCTGCTACCTCTGAGGAAGACCTCAGTCAGTTCCTTTAATCAGGTCGGACCTCAGTTTCCCCATCTGTTTCCCCACAGAAATGCATCAACTGCTCAGGCTGGTGCAGCTCCGCAGACTCACACTAGCTTAGGGCCAGAATGAGAGATCTTCCCAACGTGAAGCCTAAGCCCCAGAGAAATGCCAGAGGAACCTAGTTTTCAGCATCCGGTTCTGCTATAAGGCATCATGCTCTGTAACTGAGAAGGGACTTCACCACTGGCTGCAGGTCCATATGCCAAGGGAAGAGATGTGATGACTCTGAAACTTAATAAAGTCGCAAAGCTAGCCGATGACTCAAAGGTGAAGTTAAATAAACCAGGTGCAAATATTTCACAGTGATGGTCAGGAACCACAGGAACAGCTTCCCCAAGGGAGTGGGACTGGTCTTTGTATCGCTCAAGCACAACGTATGGGCTTGATGCTCAAAAGTGTCAGACAACATGCTGTATTCTCTCTGTATCTCTCTGACCTGGGCTAGCCAGCAGCTCAGGCTGGATAATCACAGGGTCCCTTTGAGCCGTAAAGACAGTTTGTCAGCAGCTGTGTTGATTATTGCTGGAGATGTGGGAGCTCAGGTCGGACCCACCCACTTTGGCTTCTGGATCTGCATCAAGTTCTGCGGCTCAGGCTCTTCTCTGCAGCTAGCCAGAAGCCAAACCCTCCTGAAGTCCAGCCACCCTCAATCATTGATCCTAACCTCTTCCCCAGGCACTGGTTTCAGAGAGCACTCATTCAGCACAAGCCTGGGCAGGAAAGGAGTACGCTAGAGTTCGAAGGCTGGGCTCTACTATAGAGCTGGTTGAGGCTCATGAGCCTCTGTGCATAGCTCAAAGGGATATTTCATCCCTTTGATGAAACCCTTTCAGTCCTGACTGGTTTATCAGCATAAGCTAGAAAGCTGAGGACCTTGACCCAGGACCTTGCACCTCTCTGAAGCCATTCTTGAGCAGACACAATCCCAGATACAGCCAGTAGTAAGATCATGTACTGAGAGTGTGATGTAGCAGGTAGGACCATGGGGAGAAGATGGGGATTTGCCCCCCACTTGGAGGCTGACCTGATGCCAGTCACTGCTGCTCTTGGGTGTCTCTACCTCTTCTTTTGGAGACTGAAATCTCTTCCGGGCAAGAGATGTCTGAGGTGAGGGCACTTGCTGCATGCTGGGAGAGTGGGTTTCCATGCTCTGCTCTACAGCAGCCATCCTGTTGCACAGGCAGTGGGAGAAGAAACCTCTCACCCACCAGATCAGAAGCCAGGCCTCTACCTACCCAAGGCAGCCTCCTAACTACTGCTGTAGGCATTCTGCAGTGGGGAAACTGAGGCAGGGAAAGGCCAATTCCCACAAACAGCTCTGCAGCCAGGGATGCTGTGTTTGGTAGGGGAAATGTGGGAGTCCTGGCTTCTACTCCTTGCTCTGTTACATCGATATGCTACCTACACCTACCCTCAAGCCCCAAAATACAGACCGTTCCCTTTAAAGCCCCTTAGTTCTCCATCAGGAACAGCCCAACCAAGCCCCTACGGCCAAAACAGAGCCTCTCCTTCATCCCCAAAACAGCATTTTAGACCTCACCCAAGTCAAAAGTTGCAAACACAGCAATTGATATCTGCCTCTTCTGTATCCTACTTACTGTCTCTCTTGCCAGCCATCAGAGCCAGACACAGAGGAGGGACAAATAGGAAGCAGCCGATTCCCAGAAGGACTTGAGCAGAGCCCTTAGGGGAATGAGTTTGTCCCCTACTTGTCTGTGTGCAGCTGCAGGGAGGTAACACTGATGGGCAGGGTTAGCTTGTGTGACTCTGATTAAGATCAACCCTAAATATACCCTCCCATCTGTCCTCGGGCAAGTCTTCTCTTTGCACCTCCACTTACATTATAATGTTACTCTCTCCCGCAGAGAGGGTGCAAGGATAAATACACTAAAGACAACTGAGGACCCAGGTGCTGTGGTAACGGAGGCTATGGAAGTGCCTGGGATAAGTTGAGTACCTCTTACAGATGTGCGTGCCTGTCACCTCGCACAACAGGGCCCTTATCTCACTTGGGCCCTCCAGGCATTATCTTAATGTTCTCACTAATAATAATATTTCATCCGCCTGATCTGATTAGGTTAAGTCTCATTTGATTTTTGCAAAACACCTTTAATCACCTTGCAAATTCCACATCATTATAAATGAAGCCACCACAAACAGTTTCAGCAATCCAAGTTTTATTTTCGGCAATCCTTTTTTTTTTTTAAATGCAAGAAAGGCAGTCATAAAAAAAAAAAATTACGAACAAGACAGAGGCTGAGAAAACATTAACGGGGGCCCTGTGCTTTCCGCTAAAGTGCCTTCATTTCATTATCATTAAATTTGCCTAGTAATTAGATTTTGGTGCATGAATATTTAAAAAAAATGTAACAGACAGGCTGTCAAAAAACCCACGACGACATCAATTCAATAATTTTTTTTAGACAGAGACATTCATAAGCAATTAACACAGATTTCCAGGGGTTTAGGAGTTGGCTTCTTCCTTCTTTTTTTTTCTCTCTCTCTTTCTTTCCACTTTGTATCCTTCACCTGAAAAATCAGAAGAGAAAAAAACCGTTCTAAATATCAGCACTTTGATTATTTTTTATGTTTTAGCAGTAGATTAAAGTGATCTCCAGGCCATTTTTTCTATGTGCCCATGCTGAGAGAGACTTGTTTAGCATGCTAAAGCATTGCTGCTTTTCTACCCCCAGCCCCTCCCCTCTCTTTGCTAAACAGAAGCAGGCATGAGGTTGGGTCATATATTAGACCTCACCACTCCTGCAGGACCAGATTAAATTAAGGTTGCATGAAGCTTCTGTCTTGATCTTCAGGCATTTCTGCTGAAAACAGTGATTTTGATCACTATTTGCATAATTGTACAGTTACGTATTCACCGGGTCCTTAATTATACGATCTGTGTTCGACACTTGCTTCAGATGAGAACAAGGCTTGCGCGGGGCATACTAAACTGGTGTTGTATGTACCTTTTCCTGGTGTCTATGCACAGATTAGACTGGTCCCTCAATAAGTCTGGCTAGTAGGGTACGTCCCATGTTAAACCCATCAGCCCAACGTAATAACAGGACTGGCATGAACACTTCCCGTGGCTGCTATTCCAAGCTGAGGAGCACAATCATGACCACATCTAGAGACTGCCCCAGCTCCCCCAAGCCTGGCACCTCATCTATACAGACCCAGGCTCTGTATAGCTGCAAGAAAAGCAGTTACACTCTAAATCAGCCACTCTCAGACCTGGGGTGCCCCAAAATCCCTTAACAAAGGGTGCCTAAATGGCTGAGAACCACTGTTCAAACAAAGAGGAACAGAAGGACTCTGATGTCCATTCTACAGATGGGGGAACTGAGGCCTGGGAAGACTGAATGGCTTGGCCAAGGTCACACAGAGTGGCTGAGGCAGAGGCAGGACTGCAACACGGACCTTATGACTCCCAGAGCAGTGTTTAAATGACAACGTCATTGTTTTTCAGGGTTCAATGGCCACTGGATTCATATAAAGATGCCTATGCTGACTGGCAATACTGATCTCCCACCCTGGCCTAGGTAGATGAAGCCCTTTTCCCAGTCCAAGAAAGGAACCCCAGGGTAATAGCAGGCCTCCCATACAGCCATTGCAACGGATACATTTGACCTTAAGCTCATAGCACCATTGCACTAACTGAATCAGCTTGGAGGCATGCTTAGCTTTGCTGACTTCAGCAGTCACTTGAGATCCAGCTCATCTCAATGGAGAATGTATTTGCCACATTGCAGTGTCCCTTCTCGGCTCAGTTCGAGCAGCAGAGACCCAATTCTAATACAAACAACTATCCCAGAACAGGATTTGGAGCTTGATCAGCTTGACAACAGCCTGCAAACAAATTCTCCCTCTGTCATTCACTTTGTGGTGTCACGCGGTTTGGACCAGTGATTCCTAAACTGGGGGCACCGAGCCAAGGGCGATCAGTATGTCAAGTGGACATGGGCTCGCTAGACTTCTCAATGAGAAGCTTAATGAGAAGGATGCATGAAGAAATGAGAAATGTGGGGAGCAGTCAATAGTCCAGTGGTCCAAAGAGCTTTGGAGAGACTCATTTAGACCATGAAGCGCCAGGTCTGTTAAAGACAGGAGCTCAAATCCCAAATCTGAGCAACTGTGGTGCCAATTCAGAGTAAACTCGCTCTAATGAAAGGGTTATGCTAGATTAACAATGGCTGCAAAATTTACCCAGTTGAGAGCTATGGAAAGCAGGTGGAAGAACCAGCAGGTCTCAAAGCACGTGCATCAGAAACAATTAGACAGAGGAAAGCATAAGGAAAACACAAGCATTTGGACCGTGTGCTTAATTTTCATTGATTCTCATCAATTTTTTTTATTATTTTAGGTACCTTAAAAAAAAAAAAAGAAAGAAAACATGCACACATAAAGAAGGAAAATCCTAGACCTCAACCTAGGTCATGCCTCCCCAAAATCTCCTTTGCTGAGGTTTTATCGGACAGAGCAGGGAGTAGAAACAGTTGGTACGACCGAGCTGAGAGACCAAATCAAAAGCATGTGAGCAGATTAAAGAATCAATCCCCCGTTTGATGCAGAGGAAATCCCACTAATTATAAAGAAGGGGCTTATTTCCTGGAGTCACTCTGTTTGAAGTCATCACAACTAGCAATACTTAATTACTCTACTTTATGGAATATAGAACGCCAAGGCCCCCATCCCCATTGCTGGAGCCAGACTTCATGGAGGTGCCTGTGATGTACCACACGTATGGATGGATTATTTATTCAAATGAAGCTCGCCACTCTAACCCGAAATGGCAGGGAGGTTTTCAAACAAGCTTTAAAAAGGGGAGTTCAAACAAGAAAGGATTCATTTATCCGTGCAATCTACCTGGCTATTATGGCAGCCATGTATCTGCCGCGAGACCCATTTGGATTTATCTGCTCTCAGAACTCAGCTTGGAAACAGTACATTTAAAATAGGGGAAAGGGGAAAGAAATAGGAAGGGGTAAAGCCCTTCAGAGAAGGTTAGTCTTGGTGGTAAAAGCACTAAGCCAAGAGGCCGGGAGCAGGCTTCAATTTCTATCCTTGCATTTGTTTCTTAGTGAAGTTCCTTATGGCCAAATCTTGCAAAAGGTGCTTAGAAAGGCAGGGAGATCAATGGGATTCCTTCATCATCAGTGCCCAGGGGAGGAGAGCTCTTCCTCTTCATGGGCATGTGTACCCAGCTCAGACCATGACTTATGCAGATAAACCCAAGCCATCCTTTAGCCAGATCTAGCAGCAGCACCGAGCCTGGCATGCCCCAGTGCCCAAGTATTTACCTAGCTTCATGGGTTGCCTTGCAGCCCGCACGGAGCCACGAGGAAGAAAACACCACCAAGACATGGGGAAGGAAGATTACAGTTGTGACAGGGCTGCCAGGGTATGCATGCTCGGTCTCATTCTCTCCCCCTCTCTCTTTCTGCAGATGCTGACCTAGGCTTTTTAGGAAGCTTTCCCTGTGCTGGAAGCAGCACAGAAAGGGCTGGCAAGCACCAATGCTTGTTCTGTGATCAAAGAGCCAAAGCTCTCTCCAATCCCATTGATGAAGAGCATAAGAGGTGCCAGACTGGATCAGAATACTGTGCTAGATGGACCACTGGTCTGTCTCCTACAGAGGCAGAAATGGATGCTATAGAGGGAGAAAATTGAACCAGATCTCTCTGGAGTGATCTATCCCTTATTCAATCCCTTCCCTGGCAGCATAGGATCATAGAAAATGAGGGTTGGAAGGGACCTCAGGAGGTCACATCTAATCCAACCCCCTACTTAAAGCAAAACCATCCCCAACTAGATCATCCCAGCCAAAGCTTTGTCTAATTGGGTCTTAAAAACCTCCAAGGATTAAGATTTCAACACCTCTCTGCGTAACCTGTTCCAGTGCTTCATTACCCATCTACCATATTGGCTTAGAAATGCCAGAGGAAGCATCTCCAACCATTATATTCAATAGCCACTAACAGATCTAGCAATCATGAATTTATCCAGTGCGTTGTTGAACCTGGTTCGGCTACCTGCCTCCACCACCCCCTGTGGCCGTGAATTTCAGAAGTGAACTGTACATTGTGTAAAAAAGTACCAGGAGCTGAGGTCACCCAGCACAGCCCAGGTCCAGGTAGGATTATCATCTGGCCTGCACCAGTGCAATACCTACCACTGCGGTCACTGGAGCACACCAGCACAGCCCAGGGCACAGAGGCCAGGCCACATCTGCAGGAAACCTGGAGTCTCTGCCTGGCTCTCACCACTGGTCTCTTTAAACACTTTGATTGTCTTTCCTGATATCCCCTAACTTGAAATACAGAGCATCAATATTTTTAAGATCAAAGGAAAAAGGGTTGGAAGGGACCCTATGAGGTCACATCTAGTCCAGCCCCCTACTAAAGGCAGGATCTGCCCTGATTAAACCAGCCCAACCCAGTCCAATGTGGTCTTGAACCATCCCAGGAATGGAGGCTCCACCACCTCTCTGGGCAGCCTGCTCCAATGCTTGACCACCCTCAGTCATCTCCACCCTCAGTTTGCTCTGCTGCAGCTTGAGGCCATTGCTCCTAGTCCTATCCCCTGAGGCCACAGTGAAAAAGTCCTTCTCCATCTTCTCCAGAATCATCCTTCAAAGATTTGAAGACTGTTACCAAGTCCACCCCCAAGTCTTCTCTTCTCCAGACTAACGAACCCTAGCTCTTTCAGCCTTTCCCCATCACTCCTGTTTCCCAGGCCCATCATCGCTCTTGTCGCTCTCTGCTGGACTCCCTCCAATCTGCCCACATGCTTCTTGAAGCACAGGGCCCAAAACTGGACATGGATGAGGTCTCAGCAGAGCTGCTTGATTTACTGTCATGTAATTGGGAAAGGAAGGCCCCAGTGCCTGCTCTCAACGTGGAGGATTGAAAGACAAGTGTTGCTACATTGGTAGGTCTCAGATCAGGCCCTTTGCCTGTATGGGCCATTGGTTGGAGTAGCAGGGAAACACCAGGTGGGTGGCTGCTCCTGCAGAGACATGGCATTGAACCTCAGTTTTATCTGTACTGCTCTTCCCTTTGCTCCGTGTATGAATATTTCTGTGGAGTAAATAACCATATATTCCACTTTGGAGAACCCAGGGGAGGTTTGAAGCAGCTTGAAAGTCTACACAACACCCAGCTTAAGGATTGTCCTAGGAATGACTCCTTTGAGTCATGAGGCTTCTCAGTCTGGAAAAAAAAAGCGGGGTGGAAAGTCCTTCCTGAGATGCACATTGAGGGGGACAGATCATCACTACATCAAGGTCTGGATTCACTTAGAAGGAAAAAAAATGGCCTTGTGCAGAACAGCTGTGGAACAGCGAGGCCTGATTTCCAAAGGCAGCAGAGACAGCGAAGGAGGAACAAAGAAAGCCGGAGGTACTGGTGGACACAGGTCTGCAGGCCTCAAGCCACCTGGTTTGTTGCTACGACTAGATAGCTGCGGGGTTAGGGATCTGAGATGGGATCTGTTTTGGGCTCTGCAACCCCACTGTGACCATTCCCCCTCTATAAAACCAGGGATAGTGCTACTTTGCTTGCTGCTGGCTTGTGTTATATGGAGCAGGGGCTACTTGTCCTCATTGTATGCACAGCTCCCAGTGCAGGGTAACCCCAACCCAGCATGGTGCCTCAATGCATTTCTTTTCTAATAACTTAGACACTGCACTGATTATGGGTGCAAAAATTAAAGGCCGTTTTAAAATACTCAGACCCTAGCTCATTTTTCTTTTAAATCATTATTAATCCTTCATACCTAAAGAGACTAAATCTCATGCAGGTAATTACATTCCATCTCACTAAATTCCTCCTGCAGTTTCAGCCATATACAATATTCCCTTTCACTCCCTGCTATGGTGTGCTAGTGAGGAGCTTCCACATTGCACCCCAGCTGCACACATGTCAGAGACAGATTAAAAAAAAAAAAAGTGTGCAAAAAAAAACAGTGCAAGAGCTGTAGCAGGAGAGGCAATCACTTTGCAAGCCCAAATGTGTCTGTGTTGCTCTGTGCCTGCAATAAGCTGGGAATAGGCCACCCTCTGCATGGACAGCTTTGCTCTCACATTGTGACATGTCACACCTCAGTGCAAAGCAACGTGAGATGCTGAGCAGTGAGATGGAAAGCTACAACCGAAGCTGACCGGCTCCGAAGAAGTAAGACTAGAACAGATCTGATCTCCTGCTAGTTCTCAGAAACAGCCTGTCAGCAGAGATGAAGGGGAGACGGACCCAGCTACAACGAAGTTAAGGGAGCTGTGCTGGATTTGCATCAGCTGAGGGGCTGGTTTAGAGAGGCAGCAAGGCCTGGTGGATGCTCTTAAAGGAGTGGAAGATGGGTTTAACCTCAGCTCTGCCATGACACTTGAGGAAATGGCTTCCCTGCTTGTGCCTAAGCTTAGGAACAGACTATTCATCTGTACTGGGACAAGTTTTAGTCTGCAGGAGAGAAGACTGAAGTGGGATTTGATAGCAGCCTTCACCTCCCTGCAGGGTGGCCCCAAAGATTCACTGAATATAGGCTGGAAGGGACCTTGGAAGATCATTGGGTCCAGCCCCAAAGAGGATGGAGCTGGACTGATCTCAGTGGTGACAGATGACAGAACAAGAAGCAATGGGCTCCAGGTGCAGCAAGGGAGGCTTAGGCTGGATATTAGGAAAAACTCTCACTAGGAGGGTAGTGAAGTGCTGGAATAGATTAGAGAGGTGGTGCAGTCTCCATCCTTGGAAGTTTAAGGCCCAGCTAGACAAAGCCTTGGCTGGGATGATGTAGCTGGGGCTGGTCCTGCTCTGAGCAGGGGGTTGGACTAGATGTGACCTCCTCCTAAGGTCCCTTCCAAACTTCATTTTCTAGGATTCTGTGATTATAAGCTGTGCCTGCTCTTATCCCAGAACAGAAATGTCCCAGGATTGGCATGTACACACATCACCCCTCCAACTGCAATTTACTGAGTGGCTGAATACACTGCCACTTTTCTGCCATTGATTCAACGATGCAGTCCCAGGACAAACATTCAGATACACTTTGTGATATTCTGGGGCAAACTGTTAGCTTTTCTTACCCTGTGAACTCTTTTATTCTTTGTCCTGGGACAGTGGACACAGATGCCTGAATGACTTCATTTTGGCCCAGGACAGAGACAATGTCCATTTGTAGCCTCAGTTTATCCAATCTGTAAACCAGGCACATATCTCAGAAGGTGGTTGAGAGATCAGTTATTTTACAGACATGCTCCCCTTCTCATTTAACATCAATTTATACTGCTAATGCCTCTGCCTTCAATGGAGTTAGCCCCCATCTATGCTGATGGGAAGGACCTCCGCATCTGACAGTGCAAATAAAAAATACAATGTACTACAGAGCTCAACTGCCTTCTCCCACCACTGGACCCAGAAAGGAGCTTCATTTAAGCCAGTGCATTGCTGTGGATATGAAACCAGTTTCAGTGTGAAGAGAATCCAATCCCATTTTATTTTAAAACCAGGAAAAAACCTCCAAGGCTGGCTTCCTCTTTTCAAGCACTTCTACTTCCAAAAGGGACCAGGAGAGTCCAAGGCAAAACACAAGCCATTAAAGGTACCTGTAGGAAGACCAGGTTTGTTCTAACCTCATGTCAGCTCACCCATGATAAGCAACAAAGGAAAGACTATGGGGGGAGTGAAAGGTTTTCCTCGACTTGCTAACACCTGCAAAACCTGCGAAGCACCGTGTCTTCACAAGGAGTTAAACATCATAATTTGTAGCTGCCCTGCCAAAAGCAGCCCTCTGCACTCCACTTCTGCCCCGGCACACAGAAGCGCATAGCAAAGCACCTGCATTTGTGCAGTCGGAGGCAAGCAAGGGTCATTGTTGCTGGTAAAATTTCAAGGCGCTTCACAGATCAGTTTGCTCTTCCCTCTGAGAAGTGCAGCGCTCTGGCCCAGAGCCCTTTATGCCTTGCCCTGTGCTTCTTGCTGATAAGCTCTTGCAAATTCCATCCAGCGTGACACAATCCAGTTCAGCGCAAGGAAGTGCTTAAAATAGATCAGAGTCCAGAGAGGAAGGGGGCCCCTGCCGTTCAGGCTTTCACCTGGAGCCGGGATGATCTGCATTCAGTCCCTACTCCTGCCATGAAGCTGCTCTGCAATTGCTGCCAGGTCCCTTAATCTCCGGTTCCTGTCTGAAATAGGAAACTCCCTTTGCCTGCCTGGTCTCAGTGGTTCTCAACCAGGTGCTGCAGTACTCTGGGGTGCCTTGAGATCCTGTCAGGGGTGTTGCGGGGTGCCACACTATGTCAGGTGTGCAAAAATGACTGGCAAGATAAACCCAGAGATTGCAAATAGGAATCCAGAGAGTTAAAAACCTTCTGACCTGCTTGGGCTTGCCAAGTTTTTTGCAATGGAAGAATTGCTCTAAACTTTTTCTATAGCTAAAAAAAAAAAAAAAGAGTGAATACTAAGAGCTGGCATTTTCCATGAAGTGCCTCAAATCTAAAGGGCAGGGGGCTGAATCTAACAAGGTTGAGAAGCATGGTTTTAGACTGTTAAAAGGACAAGGATCATCTCTTGCTATGCAAGACCATATACAGCTCCTAGCACAATGTGGCCTTGATCTCACCTGGATGTGCTTACCATAGTAATCATTCCCTGGCAGAAAGCATCACTGAGGTCTCCAAACTCTACTGACTCTTTGCTTTTGCTCTGGTACTTCCACGCCCGAGGATGTTACAAGAGTACATTCATTCCCAAGGAGGCCAATATCCCAATGCTGCAAATGGGAAACATCAAAAGGGAGAGAGAAGTTATTTATACAAAGAGGCTTTTTCCAGTTTTACAATTAAGGCCAGGCTCAGCTTGCTCCAAAGCTAAGTCACCTCACTTCAACCAGGACACAGGTAAGAGTAGCAGCCACCTCTCCTGGCACCCAGGTCTTATCTTAAGCATGGAGGTTGACTGCAAAATGGGAAGCTGGTCCTAGCTAGAGCCCAGGTACATGGGAAAGGGGTAGAAAAGGTTAAGGAAAAAGGCAGAAAAGCTCAGCACTAAGCCAGCCTCTCCCCTGGGATGGACCTCAAAGCTTGCAGGGTCTGTTTTCAGGACAACTAGGGTGGCAGCTGGTATTTCCCATAGCGAAGAGCAGACAGCACGATGCTCCCCCGATTCAGCGTGGAATCAGGCTTAAATCTCACTGTAGTTCATCATACTTATGCCCAGGCTTAAAGCCAAGCCTGTGTTTGAGTCCTTTGCTGGTTTGAAGGATGTGGGCTGGAGTTAGGGCTGACAGGAGGGTTGGAGCTGCTGACTAGGGTGCAATGGAAAGAAATAGCTCCAAGTCCTCTCTCAACCTTCATAGGGAGCAGTGAGGGAAGGAGGTTTCTGAAGTGAACCCCTTTTACCTCCCCCTCCAGATGGAGGAAATTTATAAAAAAAAGGGCAACAGGGAAGAGAAACGATGGAGACCGGGTCCCTGCCGGCTATGTTGCCACTATAAGCCCAGGCTCTCATTGAGCCTCCCATAACAAACAGCTCATCGAAAGCAGACTGGGGTCCCGTTGGTCCGTTTCCCTTCATTATTTGCAGTTTGTACACAGCGGTCATTAGGGATTCATTTGGTTTCCCTAGCAGCAGGCATTAGTCTGGCTTTTCTCTCCTCTCTCTCCCTCGCTCTCGCGAGCTCCCTTTATTTTTAGTGTCTTATTTACAGTTTGACAGAGTAACAGTATCCCTTGCAAACTACTCCAGCGGCTTTAATCGGGGGAATAATAGGTCCTGTCTGGAGATGAATAGCATCTAGGGGACAGATTGTTCCACACTCACACGGTGGGGGTAATTTATTTATGTGCGCACATGTCAGGAGGAGAAAGGGACGGGGGGATCTGTATGCAGCAAGGACACTGACAGCGCTGAATGGAGAAGGGAGAATGGAGTCAAATGCCCGGCGCCCCCCTCCTCTCCTCCCCTTGTCAACTGAATGCCTCCAGTGGCCATGAACTTGAGGGGACTCAAAGACCCATTCCCAGGCCCTCTGCGCGTCACGGGGGCCAAGTTCGGTCTAGTCTATTGGGAGGTAGGCCTCAGGCTCCAGATGGACCCAGTTACTGCCGCCACCCCTCCCCAGCCCTTCCCCACATAGCGGCCGTGCAGGGAGCATGTCACATAGCAACGGTACAGTAGCAGGAGCGCAGCAGGGGTCTGGGAAGAGAGGCGAAGCCCTAAGAGAAATACAGGATGGACCCAGACAATGGTGCTCTCTCATATCATAAATTACACGGCCGCTACAAAGAGGCTGCCCGCGCCACCCCCCTCCAAAACACACACGCATGCACGCACGCCGGGTCCTGGCGGGCACCTTCTGGCAGGGATCTGGGTGCTTGGAGCATGGTGGCACGAATGCTTGCAAGAGAGGCATGCTTTCCACCTCCCCGCTGCCCTCCATCCCCCCTCTTTCTTCAGTGTCGGAGGGGGTCAAAGCATCTTGCTTCTCTCCGTTCCCCACTGCAGCACGTTAGCGTGCCATGGGCCCTGTGACTTCTCCAACTGGCTTTGCAAAGTTCAGCCACAGTCGAACCCCAAATCTGGGATCCCTGTTGTGCGCGGTGCTGTACAAACACAGAGGACGTGGAGATAGGACCACCCTGCTCTGTTCATGATCTGAGATCCAACCGGAGAAGACAGAAGGAGAGAGTAACAGGACCCTACAGTGACAGTCTGGTTAGGTGACCATCTCTCTCGCCCTCCCCTCCATGCAAGGCATCTCCCCTTCCATAGCATTGATGTAACCCCTCCATAATCCATATCCTTTCATAGTACCCATCCACTGGATGTTTAAAGGTGCCATTACCCATGGTATCTAGTCACTGAATAGTCCCTGACGGCAGCAGAGCTGTACCCAAGGAAAGAGGATAAACCCTCCTGATTTTGCCATGTTCCAAAAAGCACTATTTCATAGTTGTTATTTGTTAGGGGCTGGAAGGGACCTTACAGATCATCGGGTCCAGCCCCTTTTATTTCTTTTATTCTTTCCACTTCTTCCTCCATTGGAAGAGATGCCTCAAGTCAGAGGAAGGAAAAAGGTCTGGAGTTTAGAAATGAATGTAGTCTCACAGCTGGATAACAAGGGAGGTCTGACTTGAAACCCCCCTTGCAGTTTAGGGCTAAGATTTGCAACTCTGGATAGAAACCCATGTCTCCCAAGGTAGCTTACTCAGCACCAATACAGCTCTCCAGATCACCGTCCTTTTTTGCTCATCTTTCCTTTGCTCTATAACCTCTTGGCCCCAGGTATTTACCTTATACAAGTCATCCCTGCTGCATCCGATACAAGCCACTATGTCCAGTACAACCCTGGCCGAGCTCAACAGCAAGGCTCTGTACTTGGCTGGGTGCAAAACCCTGTCAAATTGTTTTTGGAAAGAAAACATCTAACTAAATGAAATTTTGCACAGAAAATGTCTGCTTCCCCTAGGGGGGAGGGGAAAATGCTTTTTCATTTGGTTTTCTGGATGAAATATATTGAAGTTTCAATTTCCAGCTAAAAGAGTGAGGGCGGAAAAATCCAAGGACATTTTCACTACTATTTTGGTAAAAAATTTCCAAGGGGAAAAGAATTTGGACCATATCTGAGTGCCTGTCTTCACTCAACTCTGCTGCCCTCCACATATCAAATGGACACGAATTCCCCAGGGTCTGCACATGTTTAAGTCGAGAGGACCTGTGAGGAAAGACCAAGTGCCTGGAATACCCCTAGCACACCCGAAGGCTAGCTCCTACAGCAGCAAAATCACTTTAGTGCGATAACAGCCCTAGCACAGAAGTCAAAGTTCAACGAATTGAGCACCCCAAGAGCCCCAGTCTGGTGCATGGCCATAAGACGCTGTGGTAACACCAGGGACTTGTGGCAATTCTCAGAGAAGCCATTTTACCCCAAGACACAAGCCATGCTTCCCATTCACGGGTGTTACTCACTGCTTATATAACTCTAGGACTGCCATCACTGCGATAATTGGTGCTATTTGGGGAGTACCTAACACTCAACAGCACGTGGTTTGGACCATGCTCTCCATTGACCCATGATCCTCCCCAGAGGTCTCACACCAGCTAAATTCCCCAAGCGTATAACACCCTGCACCCACGATTTTTCAACACCCAGAAGTGAAATTCTGTCAAAAAAAGAAGAGGTCTCTAACATCGGAGCCCTAACACAAGGGAAGGTCCTAGCTCTCCCTAGCAACTGGAATGAATGGCAGAGCCAGTCCATCCCAGTCCAAACTCCATCCTTGGACTCAAGACCCTCCCGCCCGTCCACATGCATTTTGACAACAACTTCATTAGTACATTAAGAAGACTCTAGCTGGTACAGAGCTACATTGGGTTGATACAACGGATGCTTGTTTTTTTGCAGAGGTCATTCTTTTCCTTTCCTTTCACTCTGGGGGAACCCCCCCCAAAAACTCAAGGAGGCTTGAAACATGGCAGAGTTGCACATATATACAGCTAGCCCTTGAGTCACCATGGTCACACCAGTTTCAACAATATCCCTTCTTGATGAAAAACCAGTCTAAGCCAAAGAGACATCATCAAATTCTTGTAGGAAGTTTAAAAAAAAAAAAATGAAAAAGGCAGGGGGAGGGGAAGAGTTGTTTCTTGAAAACTCCCAGTATAACATTAAAGAATTAAAGCCTTTTTTTTCTACAAAAATCTAGTTGGTCTAATAAAAAGAGAATCGCCTCTAATGCGAGTTCTGATTCCAGTATAACGCTTGCACTTATTCAGCAGGGTGGGAAGGGGGGCAGGGAAATTGAAATATTGTTGGTTTGCAAAATTAATTTCGCAAAATTAATTTGCAAACCAAAATTCATTTCTGATATCACTTTTCAAAGTGAACCCAAATATTTTAGAATCATAGACAATGAGGGCTGGAAGGGACCTCAAGAGGTCACATCTAGTCCAACCCCTTGTTCAAAGCAGGACCAGCCCCAAATACATCATCCCAACCAAGGCTTTGTCTAGCCGGGCCTTAAAAACCCCGAGATGCCACCACCTCTCTGGTATTTTATCCAAAAAGGACTGTCAGTTTCTAGAGGCCTTTAAAAAAAAATTACCTAAGAAAAGGGAAAATGTCTTTATTTGGTTAATCTCTTTTCTCTCTCTCTCTCTCTTTTTTTTTTTTTCCCGGATGGGAAAATCAACCAGCTCTAAAAATCCAACCTTAACTTTGATGGCATTATCTGATATCCTCGGAGGTGAGAAGAAACTATATATCATTTTTTGTTGTTAGAAAGGCACAACCCAAATACCCTCCTTTCTTTTCAAAAAGAAGAGTTGTGCTTCTTTTGGGCTTTACATGGTGCAATTTCTGGGTCGAAGCACGAGTGAGAAGATGGCTGGGTGGTTGGGACCCTTAGCTAGACCATCAGTAATAGTGCTTCAGTTCCTTACTTCCCCATTTGCTTCCTACACAACTTTTGAACAAGACACTTAGGCTTTGCCTGCATCTGGAGCTCTCCTGGAAGGTCTAGAGTGGACTAACTCCACATGTGGACACCTTGTTCCTATCCAGCTTAGATCACCAGAATAAGATACAAGCCATAACAGGAACCTGTTCTCTGTTAAAAGAGGACAGAGGTCCACCGTTGGAAAAGCAATGTCTGGAACCTCCATAGCACTGCCGATCTGTGTGTCGACAAGCACTGGTAAACCATTAGGCCAACGTTGCATCTCGGGAAGGTGAGACTTCCCCAAGGCCAGGGAAAAAATTGGATAACACAG